ACCAATATGGACTCAAAGTTGACTCAAGGCTGCTCGTGCTGGTAACGCATCATTGCTTAGCATAGGGACAATGTCATATTAGTCGGTATTCTGATTAACGTTTTTTCACGTGATATTTGACAGCACCATAAGGCATAACAGATATGTCAACAACCAGAAAGCTAAAACATAGTCTATCATGAGGGCTATGAGGAAAAATATAAAACAGTACGCATTCTAAATATATGAACTAAGAGGTTCTTACCCTCTTCCTATACTTGACTTTTTCAATCGTTTTTCAATTTCTCTCACTTACTACTGATGTATGCTTAAAATTAAAATAAATGAAAGTATTTGATTTCCTATCCCTTTTTTTGTAAACAGTATTTATTAGACAGTTGAGCTGTAATGGGCGAACGATTGAATTTAGAAAAACCAACTGTTAGGTTACAGATAAATAATGCAAATGGTATCATTCTCCTCGTGAAAAATGAAAGCATTGGATTTTGATCCATAATATGAATCATCAATGTCCACTATGGAGTGTAATCCAAAACGATGGCGAAATAACCCTCTCAGTTAATTGTTCATTCAAGTGTTCTGTGGCTAATCAGTCAGTCAGTCAGCTACAACGTAGGACCAGGCACATTTATGCATCGGTCCAAGTTGCCAGACCTCATTAACACAACAAGATGGACACCGGATTCATAAAATTAGTTAATTCAGAGGTGGTAATATATAAAAGAAAGATTGCAATAAGGATATAATATAGGAAGAAAGAATTAGTTCTTAGAAAGAAAGATATGAAGCGATTTTAATCTCTGAGTTTAAGAGAACACAGAGAGTGTATACACCTACGCCATTGTGATGGATTCTGAGCCATATCTCCCGGAGTCTCCAACCATTGGTTACGATAGTCACACGGACCCCAACCAAATAGTCTGCATCTACCAACATGGCTCAGACTAGAAGTTAGTGACTTCAAGCACTGATGCCACGTTTTGGTTTTGGCCGTCCCTAACTTTCTTCCAACCATCCCGAACGCCGGTTAGCATTGCACGTCGTGGTAATCGGTGTTCGGGCATACGTAACACATGGCCCAACCATCTCAGTCGATGACGATTCACAACCTGATCAACTGATTAACCATCATTCCCTAATACCCTGCGTCTAACCTCACTATTACTTACCCGGTGATCCCAGCAGACGCCAGCAATATTTCTAAGGCATCTGTGGTCAAATACTAATAGCTTACGAGTGTGTTCTACTCTTAAAGGCCATGTGGTTAATAACAACAAGCATTATTTCAACTTGGATTATTAGGACTAAGTTTATGTTTTAGTGGGGTTTCACACAATGATTGATGTCATGAGATTTATTGAGGTTAAACGTAAAACGATATCTCAAGCCCACCCAATACTAACTTTTTCTATAAATAGTCTTCAATGACAGTATTAATAGGGATTTTCAACAAGCTACTTTACCAATACATCTTGAACTATGTATATATCTATTTATACATTTCTTCCTGGTCTATGTATGTACTTTGAAATTTGCTGTCATTTTCATTTATGTCATATCTGTTAAACAAATGATGTTCTAAGTTTAAACATTATGATTTCCTGTTTTTTTTTTCATCATACCATACAATATTTAGAAAGCACATTTTTGCAAATCTATTTCTTTATTTATTAAAATACCTTCTATTCGTTAACACAATGAAGTATATATACATATATATATATCGCTCCACATCTAGGTACGTCTAATATTTCGTTATGCATATATGTGTAAAATGTGTAACACACCTAAACACCATTATTTTTCTAGTGTAAATTGTTAATTTAAATTTATTAAACGTGTCAGTCAAGTAAATGCAAATCTTATGATACTATTATGAGTCTAAAGTAATATTTTGGTCTACTACCTCGACACTTTTACTACTACTACCACTACTACTACTACTACTACTAATAATAATAATAATTGAAAATTTGTGGGCTTTTTTATCATAATAAGCACAGTTACCAGGAGATACTGGTTCGCTTGATAAGTACTTATAAGTCTAGGAATTTCAAAGGTGTTTCAAACAATGGACATGTCCCTTGTGTGTTGAAGAAGATAAAATTATTGTACTTTCGGTTTTCTAAAATTCCTTTATCATGACTGTATTTTCAATGATCACATTGTCTCGCATTTCATCATTCTATCAGTGCTGTTAAATTACCACTGATCATTTAGAGATCCTAATTTATTCAGTTTTTGTTAATAAATGCTAATTTTTCTCTCCTGTTAGGATAACTCTATACATTTCTTCTGATCCATATTTCCTCATAACATTTGCTCTTTCATAATTGTTACCACTTTTAGCTTGCTAGTTTTTCTGTCTCACGGTAATGTTTTTTCGATTCCTTTAATACTGATCGGATTCTATAGATTGATTTTCAATGTACTTACTCGTCTGAGGGATTCGACAACATGTGTCGTATGTTAAGATATATATATATATATGATAATTTTTCTTTATATCCGTCTTCGTTTTTTAGTTTTAAGGTCATTTAATGAAGTTAACGTTAAAGTAAATAACAAAAACTGTTTTATTTAAATGTTTTGTTTCTAGTTGATTTACTCTATATTTGTCTATCCATTAAATTATGATCGGTATAGTTGGAAACAAAAGATGTTGTTAGTTAGTATTCATCTATTCATATCTCTTATTTAAAATCAATTTTACAATTTGAAGTATCCTCTTTTTCTTGTTTACTGGTCATATTATCGATAAATAAATTATATATACCATAATTCATAATGACAATTGATAAACTATTTATAAGATGGATTCCCTAAGAAATACTTAAATTCATTCACTACTAGCTCTGTAGGATTCCATTTTTACTTTTTTCTTTTTCACGGATAAAACTTCATCTTTAGAAGAAGTTATAATTAGTATAATTATAGAGGTTTCTAAGTCATATTATAAAATGTTTGACACGTAAATGTTAATGTTTATACCTGTCTTCCTATTATCAACTTGTACTTTTACCTATTATATGCGGTGATGTATTCTATTGCATTGTGATTATTGACTGAAATTGTCTTGATTGATTTAACATAATTTGTATAAACATTCATGTATATGAGAGTAAAGCCTGATGATGATCTAATTGAAAACAACTATTCGCTTACATGTGTTGTTCTAATGTTTAAACCATATTTTTTTTATAAAAAAAAACTGTTCGCTGATATATTTGTTATCGGTTGAAAATAACAACCCAATAATATTTGAATTGTTATAACTTGTCAATTGAATTATGACTTTTCTTCTCGTCATATCACCTTCCCTTTTTTTTGAAGACTCAATATTTTGATCCTGACTCTGAATTTCCTGACTTTATCCTTCCCCACGAAATAATGTTGGGTCCTCATATTCTCGAGTTACAGTTAGTGTGACTCTATTTAAAACGTGTTTCCCGCACTGAATAGAGAGTCTACTAGAACTGATTAGATGATAAGGATCAACGACACTAGATATGAGGTCATTAAGGTTTGATTCTTGTGAAACATTTTCATCAAATCTCTTGAAAATCTTATTAGTAGATAATCGATCACTAGATTAATCAGCATCTATCAAAATTTTATTAGGTTCTTGATCATTGTTTGATGCATCCGACAAATTTTTCTCATTTTTGTAAGAAATTCGATCAAAAGCATGTCAGTCATTAAGATAACTAGAGAGGATCCCGATAAGTAGATTCATCAGGAACTTTTGTCGTAGAATGATGAGCTCCATTTAATGCAACTGTCTTCATTATGCTGCTTGATTCATTTTCTGTTTCTTCGTGGGCGGATACTGCAATAATTTCATGAGCATTTAATAAAACATCGTGTTTCTGTGAGCTGGACAAGTCAGTGTTTGTACATGGTATTTCGGGGCAATGGGATTTGAACCCACAACAGGACATGTCTCTAAAATGAACATTTCCGAACCGCTGGGCGGATCATGAATGACTGCTACTACTTCATTTACATTACCGATTATCAAGGATTCACGGAGGCCTTCATCGACACGTTCATACATTCTGCAGTCATTTTCCAACTCTGTACGCAAATTAGAAATTAACTTATCAACTGTCACATCTGCAAAACATGGAGGATTTAGCAGTCGTATGCGTAAATTGTCTAAAACATTCAACTGGCTTTTTTTGAAACGCTTCTGTTGTCACTCAAATAGAAACTGTAATTGATCGTAAGAGATAGTCATTTTCTGAATCAGCATTGTAATGAAGACTTCTCATAGAATATTGTAGCATATAATGAAACAGAGTCACTATTATTCACATATAGTAATGACATTGCATCTTGAAGTTAAAGAATTCGTATCATTTTGATTTTCTTTTTTATACCTAAATCGACTCAATACTTATACTTTCTACATGATTTGAATTTTTCATTTCTTATGGAATTTTTTCTCAAAAAAAGAGAGAAACATTCATTTTTAATTTTCACTAATATAGTGAAGTTTTCACTCGTTGAAATCGTAAGCCATTCGAAGCTAGACCACCATGAAAAACCTGGAAGCGGTGGACGACCGTTTCGTCCTAGTATGAGACTCCTCAGCAGTGCTCATCCACGATCCCGCCCCCGCGAGATTCAAACCCAGGGCCTACCAGTCTCGCGCCAGGCGCTTAACCAGCTAGACCACTGAGCCAGCGGCGTTAAGCCGTTACCAGTGGTGTTAATGTCTAACTTCAGCCAATCCACGAAGTTGCGCCACCGTACACCATTGTCTTCAGTGAGTTCCTATCTCACAACAGATCTGGTTGTAACTTTGTTCAAAATATCAAGTTGACTAAATCACTTTATCTAACTGTAATGATCTAATATATGAGAATATTAGTAGTATTAATAATACTAGTAATAGTAATAGTAGTCATAGTACTACTAATAATATTATCGTTTACAATTAAAATTAAAAACTACTAATCAAATCCTCTTTTAATCAATCAATTTCTTGTTACTAGGTCATTCACCATACAAGTATGTATGTGTATGTATGTATGTGTGTATGTATTATTTATAAAATGTGTATAGACATTATTAAATAAATTGTCTGATTGTGCATGTGTTCATTCTCATTTCACTGTCTCATTATATCAATTATCCAATCTAAGTTACTCAGTAATATCATTTTACTCCTGTATGTGTCTACATTTAAACATTGTACATGCACACACATACTATACAGACATAAATATATATATGTATATATCTTCTTTCATATGTCTGTATACATTCAATGATTTCTACCAATCATTGTATCATTTTATCCAATCGTTTTATTCATTATCTTTCCTACTTAATTTTATTATTATTATTTATTACTTTATAGTCCGATATCAGTAGTCAACGTATATCACATATTTTTTTCTTCTTTACTTCATTCAACATCAATATCGTCTACGTATTATTTTAAATATAATGAAAAACAATTCTGTATTTTAGTAGTTAAAGCTAGACCATTATGGCAAACCTGGAAGCACTGTATTCTCAGTAAAAAAAAGTTGTTAATATGTTATATATATAATTTCATACACCTAGTTCCCTTTATCATTTTGAAAAGAGCAAGAACAAACATTCTAGCAGAATAGCATGAATTCATTTTTTATTTCGTTGGTTCTCGTCAGCTGCTTACAACCTGTGATATTTAAAATCATAATTACATAACGGGTTTAAATTACTTACATAAAAGAGTTTGATTGGAAGTTATATTAAAGACATATTCATATAGTATAGCAAGGGTGTAAATAAATTTAATAGACTCAGTATTGTAAATATATACCTTATGTGATGAAAGAACATTGTGACAACAATTCAAACGGTTAGAAACAAATAAACCTTGATAGGAATAAAATGAGTAGAGTTCAGTTGATAAAATAAGATAGTTGGAATAAAACTCAATGGTGTAATAAATGCAAGAAAGAGTTTAAGGAAAAAGAAAAAAATTATTAAGATATAACGAAGGAATATTAATCACCAACGCAAGGAAAGATTAGTAACCATCTCCTTTTGAACACATACATCAGGCTTTTGGCGCCTGATAGCAACTGCTTCAGCAAACTTCAGAAGACTGGAGTTTGGCTGCTTACCAATCACCTTGAATGATTGTAGGGTATCGACCTGATGTCCTGTATCAAGAAGATGTTTGGTGATTGCACATAAGGTAAATATTTACAATATTTAGTCTATTAAATTTATTTACACCCTTGCTATACTATACAAATATGTCTTTAATATAACTTTCAATCAAACTCTTTTATGTAAGTAATTTAAACCCATTCTGTAATTATGATTTTAAATATCATAGGTTGTAAGCAGCTGACGAGAACCAACGAAATAAAAAATGAATTCATGCTATTCTGCTAGAATGTTTGTTCTTGCTCTTTTCAAAATATATATAATTAATTAATCTTAAAGCATTTAGTCCCTTTGATAAGTTTCAATAGTGTAATAAGAAGATGAAGACTATCAGACCTATGTGATGATATATCAGCACAATACATTTCGAACAGTCTGATCACACACACTTAATACACTTCTTAAGAACATTTATATATAAAAATATAAGGTCAACTAGACCGAAAATGGGGTAAGAGGAGACAACGATGATGATAATAATAATAAGAGTAATAACTAGTAATAAGCCAATATTACCCAGGGTAGGTTTAAGGTGAGAACAAACTGTTTTTGAATACACAAAGGGGGTTTTAATTTTCTTATGGACAAGGCTTCAATAAACCTTAGTATACATCCCTTTACACTTTTATGCAACATTACAAAAGCTGAGTTAAGATCAATCTTATAGCCTATTTCGATTATATGTTTAGCAATAGAGGATGATGGATTTGTTTCTGCAACTATTTTGGCACATGGTCGCACACCTTAATTTTGGGATAACGATTGCTCCTCCCTGTGTGTGTGTGTGACACTTAAACTGGTAAGCACAGTGGGATGTGACAAAGTCGTTTTCATGTCATTTAGGTTTTGGATGAAGTATGCACCTTGTTCTTTCAAATTGTGTTCACATTATTATCATTACTCTTATTATTATCCTTGTCTCCTCTTACCCCATTTCCAGTCTAGTTGACTTTTTATTTTTATCTATAAATGTTCTAAACAAGTGTACTATGTGTGATCAGATTGTTCGAAATGTATTGCGTTAATATATCATTACATAGTTCTGATAATCTTCATCGTCTTATACTTATTTTGTTTTAATAAAACAATATTTCATGTTTTATTTTAATCTTTTAAGTCTACTTTTGATTATTAGACTTTTGTATTGACATAAACCAAGTGCATAGTTCAGTTCTCTTTTCAAGTGTCTTACTATAGTAAGCTCACTGAACTTATTATTATTATTATTATTTTAATATTAACCACCTCAGATAGATATTTGATACTTTTGAGTCTATGCTATTTTGTTATGAATCGAAATTTTATAATTCGATCTAATTAGTTGGATAAGGCAATTTAGGAATAATGTAATAAGTTTAATATATAAATTTCTTCATTGTAGCTCATTTACTTATCTAAATAAAAATTAATATATAGGGGATTCATAATAAGAAAGTGATTACGAATAGTTTTAAAAGTTATTCTCAAACTCCTTACTATTTCAGTACATTGTGTATGTGTATGGGTGTATGTATATGTCATAGATTTTTGTTGTTGCTATGACACTGATACCAGTAATTCAGATTATCTAAAATAACAGATTACGATATTTAGTGGATTCACTTTCTTCTTACACAATAAATTTTGATTACTAGGTTTCGTACTCTTCATATAATCATCTAATAAATTGTTATGTAAATTGTACATATACAGATTGCTGTAATTACATTTTTCTTCGAATAGATCATCCACAGAAACGGAATAGTTATACCTAGGATATTTTATAAAATGCATCAACTAAATTGTACTCTTAATTTCTATCATATTTAGTGTGTTCAATGACTGTTTATTCACATTTTTCAATATAATAACGTTTCAGCCTTCTTCATAGTTCGCTCGAGTATTTAGTAGCAATGACTGATAATTACTATGTTTTCCTTTTTGTCACTAATGTATATCTGTAATTCACTATTCAGGTTTTATTCTATGCTACGTCTTTTAGACTTTCACTGATATCACTATGTGTTTCTTTTTCACTTGAAATTTATTAGACTCATGATTAATAAATTTACTTAAAAATCTTGAAATCTGGGATTACTATTGTTTTGATGGAGATTTGTTCTCTGAGCTCAGAGAACAAAACTCTATCAAAATCATCCACCTGAGCTACAAATCTCCACCATCTCATTACGATTATTATCCTATTAATACTTCGGGATTAAAAGAGATTTTGCCTTGTCCATCAAGCGACGAGTATTATCAATTGTTTCATGCCTTTCATAGTTGTAAAATATATGAATCTCATCATTCGTAGTCATATAAAAGTTTCAGAAAACCTAGTGACCATTACTTTTGAATCACTTTTTTACAGATAGTGAGATTATTTCATCAGAAGTAATGAGATTATATCTCAAATTATAGACTTTATTTAAACATATTAATTAGATAACTAATCAGTTTATTATTGTCTGGGTTTTCCATATAGTCTTTACATTGTTACATGAAGGTATAATATTTGAATTATGGAATACCTACTTGCCATCCTTTTACGTACAAGGAATTATTATTCATTGAGCTGGCGTTATACCGACGTTAAGAATTCTTTTACCAAAACGTTGTGTTTAATTACGCTGTTTACCTTTACTTGTTAGATTCCTGAGAGTAGGTGGGAAGAAGCTGTAGACAGACTGGCGTGAGATCAGTTTATGAATTTATTGACTACTAGCTCGAACCATATCACTAGGTTCAGAATTTCTGCTTGGGGGATACACAATACATGTAGTCTATTTGGAAACGTTGAGTGATATAATACACAAAATTATTCACAGTGATGCAGTTGGATTTTTTCTCTATCTTCCCCTAAATCTGGTGATAAGTGTTTTTCATCCTTCAATTTCATGTCTTTTTTAAGTTGTATTTTCTATGTTTACCTTCCCGTTACTGTTAAGACCAAGTCTTCTTGTGCGCTTTTCATCTTATTAATTTACTACTTACATATGCTGATGTGAGGTATGCTAACTTGGACCGATATAAATTCATATCAAGTCCTATATCGTTAAACTGGTTGGCTGTTTGTTAGAATATTCACACTTTGAATATGTTATCATGACCTGTATTTTCTCAAATAGTAATTATGTTAACCAGTTAAAATGTTTTCCACTTGACATGTTACTAACCAGCGCATTCTATTTAACCATTATTCACTAAGGTTGATTCTTAGCGGTTTATATACTACTAGATTCTCAACGGAATCCATTATGACAACTTCATCTCACTGTCCTAATGAGGTGTGACAATTCGGTCTGAAGTACCAGTTTCTATGTTGCATATGACTGACTAACTATCTCGAACACCCAAACCAACGTAGTAACAATGAACTCAGACACGTTAAATAATAGTGTTGTTATTAAAGCATATTTTTTATTTTCGTTTTCTCTAAGATAAATAGTTTTATTATGAATCTTTCATAATCCTTTCTTCGTAATATCATCGTCTGATTTTAATAAAAATGCAAAAGCAAAACTTTGCAGCCATTATCTTATATGGCTGATAAAGAATGCGACACTACTGGATAAAAAAATGCTAATGATCTTTATTCCTGTTATGTCCGCGTTGCCAGTTACTTATAAATAATCTTATTTAGACCATCCCTGTGGGCAGGATCGTGAGCACGCACTACTGAACGAAAGAGTTGTCCAGTGCTTCATGAGTTTCAATGGTGGTTTAGCTACGATTAGTTTTTGACTTAAAATATGAAAATTTTCCAATCTACGTAAGACCTTATACTAACAAATCATTTTATTTAAAATCAAATTACCTAATCTATGACTCACTTCGTTACATCATTCGTTCCTCAATCATTAGGTAACAAACTATCATTCCAGTTCGTATGTGTATTGACTTCGATAACTATGGTAGTCTTGTTAGTATTTGTGTAATAGATGTGGGTTTCATAATCTAGTTTCCTTGATCAAATGAAATTTAAAGGACAATTCATATTTAAAATTTTTACATGTTAACAGATATACAAGTAAGTTGCGTAATATTTATCATAGTTTTAATGTAATGTATTTACCAATTATAGGTTTATCTACTCAAATTTGTCTCACATACACACGTTTATTCGAGGTTATCTATTTCAGTAAATATTGTCATTTCATTTTATTTGTGTTTGGGCTGTGATACTGTCCGGTTGCCCAAACAGAGGTTATCCGATGTCACTACTTTATTTACCCAGTTTCCCTTACTGAAGTTAGTAGAAAAGAAGTAGAATTTTAGAGACTGTCACTTATTATTATAAGCTAAGTGGTTTGATTATTTGGTCAACACTACTCTACTTTGTGGGTTGTTAATATTAACTGATACACTTAAATTCAGTGTTTGATATTTATGATTAGTTGATAAAAATTCGTATGTCATTCGTCATCATGGAGTGTATAACAATACCGTCCCATTCAATGATATTAACTGTAGGAGGTTTCATTACGGAAAATCTATCAGAGGTCTTGATTGGAATACCTAGCATGTTGGGTCCTCTAATGATATTCCCATACCTTTCGGATTGCCTTTTTTCCTTAGGGCGATGGAACAGTGGATAATGCTATTTTTGTGTGCTAGGTTCGGAGTCGATTGTATGCTCTATGTATGCACTACTTATTATTGTTCCAATCCAAAGTTTGAACCTCACTTCATTGATTTCAATTTGGACAGTAGGGTAATACTATTGTCTCACACATATTTTCTTGTGATTCAATGCCGTGTACATAAATCTGTACTTAATATGTGTCACATAGTCATGGTACTTCAAATATCCTTTAGTGAATAATATCTTTGCAAATAAAATTTGAACTCATAATCTTTCATGCGTTTTACAATTTTGTTATTATAAATATCATTAGTCTTTTCTTAATTTAGTATGTTTTACACGTTTATTTATATCTTGAATGAGTAAAAGTCATTCAAATTTATCTTTACTTTAAAAATGATCTCAACTGAGAAATAGATTTTCATGAATACATTCAACCATTGGTATATGATTTTATTTGGTTATCTTGATTTCTGTCGTTTAATTTGATTGACCGACTTGTTAAGTAATGACAAAGTGTAGGGTTAAGATTTTTATCGTTGAACATGTAGCACATCTGCTTTTCAATGTTTAATATGTATTCAATATCTAGCATTTTTCTGTTCATTTAGTGAGTGAATGCTGCACATGAAATCATAATTTTCACTGATGATTTCATCTTAAGCTGTTACCTTCATTGGATTCGCTGTTTTTCATTTGAAAATTTGAGATGTGCTACAGTGTCATGTTTATAGAAGGCATACGTAGATTACTTTAAGTTGTTGAAATGAAATCACTGGTGAAAACTACATTCTTATAAGCAGTACTGACCCATTGAATGAATGGGGAAAATACTACAGAACACTAGATATTGTATTTTTATTAAACAGTGAAAAAGTATGATTATCCTCACACCAATGTAATCTTGAAAAGTCAGTGTTTAATTGTTTATTATAAATTATAACCATCTAGATATCAGTCTATATATTTTGATATAAAAAAGGCGACACCAAGGTCTAAAACATAGTTTACATCTAATGAATAATAATAGGCACTAATAACCTATATTATTTACCTAAAATCATCTTTATCAGTAATGAAACAATCAGTTTATGATCACCTAAGTCTTACATCATTCTCCCCATTCTTAGTTTCATTTTATCATTTATCACCCGTTATTCTCAAGTGTGTATACAGAGTTCATTGTGGTCACTGTTATTGCGTCATTTCGATCATTATCTACATCGTAAACACCATTCATCATTATATCATTATTATTTATTCTTGTCTAAAGTTTTTGTGTCTATCACCTACCATGAAACATTCAATTATTAGTAGTATATATATATATATTTCCTTTATTTAATGTTCATTATTTACTTATGCCTCTGTTATCATCATCGTCATCATCATCTTCATTCTCATCAACAAAAAGGACTATCAGAATTTTGCTTCTTTTATTTTTATCATCCTTCCCATTTGTTTGATTGTCTGTTTGATGATGTTTGATTATGATCGGGATATGAATGTTGATATCTCATTGAACGTGGTGGTTGGCTCGCGTACTAATTATTGTTTGATTTGTTCATTGTGTGTCTGTTCTTGTTGTGTATTATCGCTTGCATGTTTGTATGTACTGATTTGTATTTAAATTGTTGAATGTATTTGTGTATGTATGTGTTTGTTCATGAATGAATGCTTGTACATATGTCCATGGTCCACTACTCTCAGGTACAACAGAACGTGTTTGCCTAATTATTGGATCGTTCGATGGTGTCATTACTGTACATAATTATATAATGGATCGAATCATGGAAAAACCTGATCCTAATCCAAATACAACTGGAGAAGGCAGACTGAATGTTGAACGTCATAAGCAGGTAGGATTTTTTATTTGTTATGCTGTCGTTTCCTTCTATTTACTGTGTTATCGATTCATACATAATCATATTATCGTTCACACTGCAGTTCAACTAAATTACTTGTGATCAGTTTTTATTGTCAATATTTTCCTTAAAAATATTCTTTCTTTTTCCAATATTTTACTTTTTGTTTTAATTTTTAAAAATTTGATATACAGGTGAAAATTCTTGTACCGAATAGTACAGCTGGTATGGTTATAGGGAAAGGTGGATCATATATTCAAGAGATCAAAGAGAAAACTGGTGCATATGTGCAAATTTCACAAAAATCTCGCGAATTCAATCTCTTAGAACGATGCATTGTTGTTGCCGGTAAGTTATTCATGATGTATTGGAAGAAGATTTAATTATTGGAAACTTCTGGGAATTATTTATTGGCCGTTATTATATATAGTCAACTGTACAGAAACAACACAATGATCTGATGGGATAAGGAGATGAAATTATTTAGGTCAATATTTTTTGTATCGATTCATTATGAATTTCCACCAGGGTGATAGGTGTGAACTTCGTTCACCTTGACATTCACATTAGATCCTTCTGGTTTATCAACATTGTTATCCAAGTTTTTAAGGACTCCCACCTCTTCCAGAGCTTTGTCATCAAGTGTAATTTAGTTGATGGTTCGCTAACTAAAAATTCCCAATTACTTTTCCTTTTTTTTCAACAGAAAGTCTTTGTTATACTCGATTTGATTTTCCCGATTGTTGTACCAATTGGTTTTAGTGTTACACTGATTTTACAGTGCCTTATTACAAGTCATAAGCATATAGAGTTGATTTCATTTTAATACATTAGTTCCTCGTACTTATTTTTCGCTCCAGAAAAACGTTTCTGAAACTCATTTCTAATCTCTTCTTTAATGCATTTACATAGCATCGTATGAAACCTTATTCAAAGTTTTCTTCATATTTGAGAAGTGCATAGTACTGTTCAGGCACTTCGTTATACTCTGTGATGGGAATCTTAGGATTTAACCATCTACGCATTACATTATATAGTTGCTAACATTTTCAAATAAAATCATCCCCATATAAGACATACTTACCCCTCGTGAAAGAGGATAGGCCACCCACCAGTATGATCCATCCAAATCTCTCCTGGACAATTCTCTCCAGTTGCTATTCATCCTTTTCATGTCTGCTTCCAATTCCCGACGTAGTGTGTTCTTTGGCCCTCCACTTTTCCATTGCCCTTCAGGATTCTAAGTTAGCACTTGCCTTGTGATCCAGTTTGGGGATTTCTGTAGTGTATGTTCTATCCACTTCCAACGTCGTTCCCTAATTTCCTCTTCGGATGGAACCTGGTTTGTTCTCTTCCCCAGTATCCTGTTGCTGATAGTTACCGGTCAACGAACATTGAGTATCTTGAGTAAACGGTCAGCTATAAGTACTTGTACATTTTCGATTATGGTTGTATTTGTAGTAGTAGTAGTAGTAGTAATAATAGTAGTAGTAGGAAACAACTTTGCTAAACAACTCTAACCATAGAAGATATACTTATTAATAATAAAATGTCATAATTCCCATTATTAAAAACAAATTTGGACTTCAATAAAAATTTCAAGTTAATAATTGTTATTTTATTTTGTTATTTTAGGTGAACTAGATCAAGCACGCGCTGCTGTTCATTTAATTTTAAATGTTATTGCTACAGATCCACAATCAGCTAGTTGTCCAAATCTTTCATATCATGATATTCAAGGACCAGTAGCTAGTGTTTATCCAACTGGTTCACCATATGCAACACCGATTATTCCTTATTTAACAGGTTCGACTATTTTATCTAATCCATCAATTGATACAAATTCTGCTTCTGCTACAGCAGCAGCGGCTGCTGCCGCTGCAGCGGCAACTATGATGGCAGCAGCTGTAGCATTTACACCTGGTCCATCGTCACAACCAATCACATCATCATTTATTTCTTCACCAGGCGGTAGTACTACATTTGGATTTTTTCCACCGAATTTTCAATCAACACCAGATATTGCAACAATTGCAGCGTTAACATCAAATCCTACAGCTACTGGTGGATCAATCGTTTTGCCGTCTATACTACCTAACACTGGTAATGATAGAACTCTATGTAGTAATTTGTCAGGAGATTTATTTTCACAAACTGTTGGTGTGGGTGGTAGTAGTTCACCATGGTCAAATATTTCAGGACGAACTGGATTCGATGTAATAGTGCCTGATCTTAATGCTGCTTCTGCATTAACAACAGTATCAGTTGCACAAGAACCTTTAACTGGATCTTTTATATCACCTAAACCACAAGATTCTCAGTCAAGTCGTTCTGCATTATCGCCTCCAGTATACTTTCCTTCATCTTCATTTATTCCAGGTAGGGATTGGGTTGATTAGTGTGTGGAAGTTTCACTGTTAGTGATGCTTATTGTTTTATGTGCTTAATATATTGTCATTTATAAAACCACAGATTGATGTCGTCTAGTTTTCCTTCTTAAAACAATAAAAATAGTTTCATTCGTTTAAATTTAAACTCTAGTTCCAAAGTTAAATTTTATTGTGTTTAGCATCCAAACATTAGACATCTTGGTCTTTATGTTTTGTGAATGTTAGCTATGTCTGTCAGTAAAACGTGAACTGTTCTTTTGGTAAGATACATTGCACTGAACCACATGATTATAATGCTTATTATTGTACGTGAAGTCATAAGTAATTCTCAGTCGTATGACTTTCACGTTTTGTGTTATACTGTTGAGCTTACTTTTAATAACTGAGTGTTATTGTATGGTCACTTCACGTCAAGTTGTTCGTGACTTGAACAACCGTCTGACAAAATACCGACTGTTTTAGATCCTAAATCACTATGGAATCATCGCTTCACTAAAGCCTCAATATGCACCCTGTTGATTAGTACCAAACAACACAAAAAAGCCGTAATTCTTCGAGAGGTGATAGGTTGCTACAATACAAATAACATTAGTAACACTATTGTTGCTTATAATTTCAATTAACTTAGAATAGTTAAGCTATTTGATTTGTCGCTGCTATTTGGATGGGTTATTTTTATATCATCAATTTTAACTTGAATAATTTTTTTACATAAACCCATGAAAATTAGTTGACATAGAATAGATTATCATCAACATATGCAAACACCACCCTACGGGGAACAAAGCAACAATGTTGATTATGTTTAATAGAATAATTATGTTTATTTTTACTAAAGTTTTTTCATAGAGAATTTGTTTAATTTACTAGCCGTGTGCTCTATCACAAATCTTTTGGTGCATAAAATGTAGTACAATATATTCAACCTTTGAGTCGATAACATATTGTAAACTGCTGGAACTTTCCTAAATAGGTTGGAGCAATTTTTTGGTACTTCCTATTTTTGTATTTACAGTTGAGTGACCACTAAATAGTGGCCGGTGTCACTTTTATTTACTACATTAATATGGACTGAATCCTATCGATCGATTAGTAATATGGTCCACAGATTAGTTGATTTAACATCGCGTGATTTATGTTTCTATATAGTCCAAATTGCATAGCGGTTACGTTTCAAACAATAGAACTAGACAATATCTGGTTTCAAATCTCACTTCCTTCATGATTGTGGATGTATACCTTAGTGAAGAAAACAATGTCAAGTAGGGCTTCCTGTTAACTCCCTCCAACTACATAACATTCCTTATCAAGGTAATAGTGGCTTAATGTATCTTTAAATTATCGGTTCATTGCATCTCACCTGATCCGATTTTTATTGCTAGTTCATTAGATATCAGTTCAATTATGTTTCTGAAATCTTAACACATGCTTCTATACGTGATTAGTGGTAAGTTAAATCTTTGAACAGTTCTCTAACTTACATTAATTCTATTTACTCAATATTCCTATTCATAGATATTCATTAATTATCATATTTTATAATAAATTTTTAGCACCACTTCGAATGTCTCCTACAGCTTTATTTGGTTATCCAACAATTGGCTATGGAAATCCTCCACCTGTACAACATAGTCATTTAACACCAACTCGAGGTATACAACCAATACCCCTAACTGAAACTAGTTCACCATCAATTTGCAGCAATTCATCAAATTTACCATCATTATTTACATCACCAACTGGACTAACTGCTAATATTGCTACATTAGCTGCTCTTTCCGCTGCGATTACAGTATCAGGTGTACCAACTGTAACAAATACAATTACAACAAATGTAACAATTAATTGTACAAAATCTTTACCAATTCTTTCAAATCCTAATCCACTTGGAACTGGTTCAACTGGTGCTTTATTTAATTTATTACCTTGTTCTCAGTTATCATCATTTAATGTTACACCAATTGTACCACATGTAGTTGTATCGAATGATTCAATTACAATGTCAGTACCTAATTTATCATCAAATCCATTTTTATTATCACTTACAGAAAGTGATATAAATCAACCTAATATACAACAACAGTCATCTTTAGCTCCAAGTATAAATTCATCGGCACAAGTTACCGCTTTACCATCTTCATCAACATTAATTGGATTTCATGGAATACAATATAATTCAGGATCAAATATCATTACACCTATGGGAAATTATGTTACATACAGACGTGTTATATCTGTAGGTTTTGAAAAGAAAACCTTTTTGGTATTTACTATTATGTGAAATATTATGTCGACTTATTTACTGTGTTAAGTAAATGTCTGGTTTTTTCTTTAGTCAAGATTATGTCATTCATTATATATACTGTTCTGATAATTCGATTGTATTTGATGTTGGTTTCATTATAAATTTTCACAGATTGAAATCATGAGTCAGTTGAAGCTATACCACCATTGAAAACCTGGAAGCACTGGACGGCCGTTTCGTTCTAGTATGGAACTCCTCAGCAGTGCGCATCCACGACCCCGCACCCCGCGGGATTCGAACCCAGGACCTACTGGCTCCGCGCGCGAGCACTTAGCCATTAGACAACTGAGCCGGCGTCCAACGGTGTTAATGTCTAACCTCAACCAGTCCACGAAGTTGCGCCACCATATACCATTGTCTTCAGTGAGCTGATATCTCACAACAGACCTGGTTGAACTCCACTGGTAACGGCTTCCCGCTAGAACAATATGTTGTATTTTAGTCATTCCATATCAAATTGATAACCTTGACACTTAGTACTAGCAATTATGCACGGCTTTTTATTAGTTTGGAAAATCCTAGTGACAAATATTGGCGGTTTTAAGTGTGTGATAACAGAAGGAATATTGTAGAAATTTGGACCGGTTTTTCAAACTATTATTAATTATAATTTCGATATATAACTACTGAGTAAAAAGATTACTCACGATTTACTATTTCTAATTTATCACAAGTCTTTTACTCACCGTCTCCTCTATTCACAACCACTTTTGACTTATTTATGTATAATTGTTATTTTATGGTATGATGCGGTATAGTGTGTCTGCGCGTAAACTATTTCTGTTTGTAATATAAATATAGTAGAGACTGATTACTACTTCTAGACTCAAGGCAGAGCATAGAAAGAAGCTAGCAAACAGTAGACCAATAGAAACCTAGCTGTCGGTTCAAGATCAGTAGTGCTGGTTGGACATGTAATTGGTCAGTATGGGGACACTGGGCTGTCGATGAAATAGTTTGCACGAAATATACTGAATTCTAACTCTGATTAGTGGCTTGGCACGTGACATTGGTCAGGGGTAGTAGAACATGATAAGTTCAGATAAGTATGTTGATTATCGGCTTTATACTTGATAATTTCGATTAAAAACCAGTTCTAACTTCTACAATATTCGTGGAGTCATAACAAAACTATGTTCCATGATCTTCAAAATGTATTCTGGAACTTTATTGTTTTATTAAAGGTTTTACGCGTTAAAAATACATGTAGCATTACAAACATGCCCAATGTCTCTTGGGTTTTAAGTAGCAATAAGAAGTCTTAAAATGGGGTGGAACACATGGAGAAAGATTTGTGAATCTCATCTTCTTTATTAACCTATTTGTACGGAAATGTTTACAATCCATTAATATTATTATTATTACTCACGATGATTGTATATGCGTACAATTAGTACATTTCTGTTTAATCTTTAAATATTTCAGGTTCCAGAAAGTGTGATCAATATAATCCTTGGTCATCAAGGTCGATCTATTATGGATTTACAATTATTTACTGGTACTGCCATACAAATATCTCAGAAAAGCACTTATTTATCTGGTACACAATATCGTACTGTCACAATAATTGGACCACAAGTCAATGTACAATCAGCAGCTGATGTAATTGAGCATATAGCAGTTATTGAGCATATGAAACGAGAATCTGGTTCATATCAACAACATTCATTATCGTTATCACTTCCCGGTAATGGTAGTAGTACTAGTACTGTTGGGCGTCCATGTAGTGTTAGTGGTGGTCAACTAAATTCGGATTATTTTATACAATCTGGAATATCACATCCATTCACATCATCGACATCATTTTCATCATCTTGCATTAAAGGAAATTATCCAGAATGCCAGTCAACATGTTCAGCATCGAATACTGGTATATCATGTCCGATAAGTATGATTAGCTCACTTCCTTTGACTACTTGTATAGCTACTGTTAATACTGCCAATAGTACTAGTGGTAGTAATGTTATTATTACTGGTTTGTCTTTTCCGTCATCGTCTTGTGATACTGCTGCTTCTACTTCAAGAAGATCTGGAGGAGGGAGTGCTGGTGTTAGTGGTTCTGGCGATTCACTGTCTTTTCAAAGTTCAATCGACTCAGTATCTATGCCTGTAACTAAACGTGATGAAACAAAGTAGTTTATTAATAACAATACTATAGAATCATTAGAATTTAACAAAATAGTTCTATCACGATTAACACTACTTATAATCGTACTGGTAGTAGTAGTAATTACTGTTGTAGAGTATTAGAAGTAGTGTTTTTTTTTTAAAGAATAACAGTTAACACCGGTGGAATGTTAATAACATAAAGCTAGACGATCCGAATTGAATTGACAAACTAAATCACACACACACACACAATTTATAGGATTTCAGCTTTACACTCTATTCGTCTTTCAACGAACACAAAAAAAACCATTTGATTTTATTTATCTATTTATTTATGTAGTAAACTTATTTTTCTGTTTTACTTTTTTTTGTGTGTGCATATATATGTGTGTATTATGTAATAATGACAGTGATGGACAATTTTATCGATTTTAACTTCTATATAATTTGGTGTCATTTTGATTATTTAATGCCTTCGGTTCCTTCACTTCGCCCCACCTTTGTCCATAGTCTCTCTCTCTCTCTCTCTATATATATATATATATATATATATACTCGTAAATGTGCATAACCGGACGTTCTTTTTGTATCCCATTTGTCTTGGGTGTTTCAGAGGTTACATTGATTATTGCATAATTTTTTCCTTGAGGTTAATAATTCTCTTAGCGCCATTTTATATATTTATGACTTTTACGGCCCTTCCATTTAAGATTATTTATTATTTTTGGTTTTACATGAGTAAAACTATTATCGATTATTTATCGTTGAATATTGATTTTTTTTGTTTTGTTTTACTCATTCTCATTTTATTTATTTTTTTTGTCATTGACGGGCCGTTTGTTTTTTTTGTTTTTTTGGAAAATTATTTTGCGGATGGGAAATTGTTTTTCTTTTTAACTGGATTATTCTATATATTTATTTATCATTAAAAGATTTACCTTATCCTTATTTGAAGTTCCATGGTCTTTATGAATCCAATTCTTATTATTATTCGGTCATAGATATCTGTGTTTGATGAGATAGTCGTTATGATATTTTTAAAATTATTGTCAATGTCATTTAGTGAACATTGACTGTTGTTGTTTTTTTTAACTTAACCACCATAATACTACTGAAGAATTGCTTTTCTTTCACATTCTTTTACACCTTAGTTTTATGTTTTGTTTTCGAAATAAATCAATGTAGTTTTAGCATAACAATAACGTGATATTCATTCGTTTCCCTTAATATGAATGCTAATTATATTTATACAAAAAAAAGCAGAGATAACTGTCAATATTTGATTGTTATTCCTTAATTGGTTTTCTTTTCTCATTGTGTTCATGCTACTATGCATAAATTTGGAATATAGAATTGTTTATATATAGTTTATTAATAGTGACATTGTATAATAATAATAATTTCTTTATTGGCCAACTATATTCCATATTTATCGTTACCAAATGATGTAATCTGTTTATTTAATGTTTAATATGTAGATAGTTAAATTATCTGTCTTTTGTTGAGATTATTATTCTTGGTTTCATATTGTCAATTTCATCATATAAAATTATCCGGTGTATTTTTTTCCTTCTTTGTTATTTAGATTTGTTATCTTTTCTCTCTTTTTTTTTCAGTGCTATTTGTGATTTAATCTTTATGTATAATTCTATTTGTATAGTGATTTGTTTATATACGAGCATTGTCTGAAAGATCTTTATGTATTATGTAAGTGTACATGTGTATTTATGTTCACATGGTAGTATATTTACTGCTGTCCAGTTGCTCGTTGTTTATTTTTAGATCAATAAATTTCATTAGTGGCCACCCATCAATGATATTTTCATTTAATTGTATACATGTACTGTGTTATGTAAATGGAACATTTGTATTCAGTGTAATTTCTTTCTTACATCTGTGGTAAGCACTTTTACTACTGTTTATTTAGAAAGTAGTATAACTTGCTTTGCGAAAGTATTCTGTTTCTTTTTGTTCGTCTATTTAGTTCCCGTTGGTTTCGTGTTATCTTAATTTAGAAAGAAAATGAATATTCTTTTTGATTAACACAAATCTTATACAAAAATCACATCTCATAAACTATCTATTGATGAGAAGTAATACTGACTATATTTGTTGTCCCGGTTCTTTTGCATTGTTATTCTTTATTATCAATATTTATGGTACTCCATAATCTGCTGTGAATTTATAAGTTTCTTTGTTTGTTTGTCTGTTTTTTCATTGTAAAATAGATGTCTACTTACTTTTAATTCTATTTCCATCATGAACTTTATGGAATAATTCCCCATCACTCATAGATTACAGAATTTTTCTCTTCGATTCCTTTTTTTTGTTGCAAACTATCTAAGAAACTTCCATTTCTTCTTTGTTTCTCTTAGACATTTTTTTCTTAATTTAAAACTATTCTAATGATATTACAATATAATGAAAGAATGTTCCTTATGCTTATTACTCTGTTCAGTTGTTTTTTTTTTTTAGAATTTGATTTTATATAAATGATTTGTAGGAAATGAACGGCTTACTGAAATGTTTTCTTTTTTGTTGTCAATTCGAGTTCATTAATTCATCTTGATGTGAATAGATATTTCTTTATTGTGTAGTTGTATTAATGATCAATTGTTGTCATTATTATTATTATTATTGTCTTATACAAAATACAGATTAATGTTCTCGTTTGATAAACATTTTGTTGATATGGTAATTATTACTGAATGTGAATTATAGTCAATAATTGTCAATGATATTCAATGTCAGAGATACTAATGTTTCTTTTTTATTTCTTCCATATATATATATGGTACTTTATTGTCAGATTCGTATCCAAAATAAATAGAGAAAAAAATGTATGTTCACTTTACAATTATGTATTGTCTATCATGAAGAGAGTGTTTTAAAAGAAAATAGATTGTTATAATATAAACGCTATTTTTGTTTCTTCAGTTCAATAAATTACATTATGAGATGGTGGAGAAGCTTTGTAGCTCAAGTGGATGATTTCGATGGAGTTTTGTTCTCTGAGCTGGATGGTTTAGTCGTGGACAACATCATCAGCACAAACTTCAGATAGAAGTGAAGTGTTCGGATTTCTCCATATGTGGTTCATAGCTTGTTCTGTGCACCCCGACGTTGATTAGTTCTTATTGACCTTAAATTTGTCATTGTTCACTTCTTTGTTTTGGTTGTGTTTCCCATTGGTTTGATTTTTGTTCCTATATTTGTGCATGATTTTCCTGATTGGTTGATAAGTTGGATCGATTTCAATATGTTTGCTGATTTGTGATTGACCTGAGTACCAGGCTTCTAAAAATTCTCTGGTGTTTTTGGAATTTCCTCTGTCTGAGATTTCCACATTTTTCCAATAGAATGAGTGTCCGCAGTTGTCCACATGTATTGATATAAGTGAAAAGTTCAAGTTTTTTTCTAGGTTTTTAGTCACTCTGTGAAACTGCAAGCCACGTGACTACTTTTTTTCCAAATTATGGGGATGTAAGAAATAATAGAAGAGAGGGAATTATTTTTAAAATATAAAATAATGATAATAACTTCATTCCATATGTAATGTTTGTATGAATCTTCCCCATTGATTTTTAGGACTACAATAGAGCAGTTACTTTTGGCATATGTGCATCGTGTGTGAATGTGCAGAATATTGTCAATGAGTCACAAAGAATTTGAGGAGAGATGGATGATGGCTAGCAGTGAAATTAAGGACATGCGTTTCGTCCTACTTAGAACTCGTCAAATGGATATACATGCATCCTGTAGTTGATTTTGGTGTTTGGAACAAAGTGTACTGAGTTCGAGCTCAGGAGTGAACATAAAATCTTGGATGCAAGTACATCCAGCTGATGGGTCCCAGATATGATTAAACGTGCGTCCTTGATTACACTGATAGCCGTCATCCCCTTCTGTCTAATATTGATATTCATTTAAGGCTATGGCAAAGATAATGATAAGACATACTTCTTTTGTACGCACAGTTATGGCTTCATCTCATGGGTGGCAAGAGCTTTTGTTGTTTTAAGTAGTTGGATACCAAGAAATCTTGGTAGAATTAATCGAATTCTATAAGCAACTTTAAAATTAATTTGAAGATCAATGGAGTGATTGGGATTAATTAGGTTTTCACAGGTGCAACTTCTGACTGCTTTGCTCTCATCCTTGTAGTACCACACTGAGATATGTCCTTGTATTTGAGACAGCAAGCGCTGACTACGGACAAAGTACCTTGCTTCACAAGAGCAAGTGAACTGATAATTGATGACTGATCTAAGTTATTTGTTTTCTAGCTAAGATTTGACCCAGTGGAGACCTCATTACAGTTCCATCTATTTAAAAGTTAGCTGCTAAAATTATAATTTTATAACCATTTAAAGATTTCATTCGACGTGAATTCATTTAAAGTTATCAGTTCCAAGATGATGAAGTTTCATTCATTTAAAAATTTGTTTTAGTTTCAAAAACTGACAGAAATGTTCCTTCGGATCATTTTTCAAAAAAATATCGTGATATTTCATTGTGTGTTTGTTCAAATATAAGAGTTGTCTCGTTTAATAAATGAAGTGGGTGGTACGACCACCAATATAAAAAGTATGTCATACCTCAGAAAGCTTGATTTGTAGAAAAGTTTCCAATATTTGAAAAGTTACAACTTAAATCACCCGATAGTGTAACGACGTGTCACTAAATCATAGTAATTGCAACTAATAATGCATTCCCATTATATCCGATTTCAAAGTGGTGGTTTGTTTTTAACAAAGATGGATGTTGGCTAACAAAGAAATCAAGGACGGGTATTTCGTCCTATTTAGGACTTGCCAGGAAGATGTCCCAGTCCAGTTAATAGTCACTGATTCGCTCAACGAAATGAATTTTAATCCTTTTGTTTTGGTTGTATATGAAAAATACGTTAGGCTTGAAGCGAACGGTACTGAATGTGAATCTAGGAGAAAACATCAACTCTACGATGCAGGTATATTCATCTGAAGAGTTCTAAGTAGAACGAAATGTATGTCCTTGAGTCCACTGATAGCTACCATTCATCTCATTATAATGCTTGTACCTCACTGACAACATTGAGGCAATCCACAATTATGCCAAAAGTGACTGCTCTATTGCAGTCCTATACATCAATGGGAAGAGTCAATAGGAATGAATGTTTTGTTTGTACGCAAAAACTATATTTTCTGATATCATACATTCGGTCAGCCAACCGAAAGACAAACGATATTGTCATTTAAGAAAAAACAGATGTATCATTTATGACTAATTAGTATCATTACAATCTTTTTATTTATTCAACGTTTATTCTCTACATTGAAGTGGGCATAGTATTTCGTGAAATAGTATTGAGCAGATATAAATAGTCGAGAAGTTCGTGTATCTAGGTAGCTGCATAAGTGCTGGTGGTGGCGTGAGTGATGAGATCGATTCACGAATAGTGAAAGCCAGAGAGGCTTATGCCAATCTGGGCCATCTTTGGCGCCTTCGTGATGTCAGTCTGGCTGCAAAAAGTCGGATCTACAACGCGTCGGTGAGAGCAGTTTTGCTCTAT